ACGCTCCATTTCGTCGTTCGTGACACACCGAAAAACCGTCTATACACGCCTTTATTGCGCGTGGTGGGATGGGAGTCCGGTGCGGCGCCTATGGCGAGACGGGGTTACTTATAAGTACCCTTGAGCGGGGGGGGAAGCAAATTGTCTTTTTAAACAGGTGCACTCGAAGACCCCATACACGCCTTTATTGCGCGTGGTGGGAAGGAAGAACACGGCCGCGGTGTCTAAGGGCACCTAGCATACACGCCTTTATTGTGCGTGGTGGGAAGGCTCATCTCCCAAAATTTTCCCTAAACAGGGGAGGCGTCGAGAGGCTGCAGAAATTTTGTCTGAAAAAGACAAGGACTTGCAAACTTTTGGACTGCATTGGACTTGGACAAAAAGAAAAAATTTTGATAAAATTTTAACTTGACATGAACTTAAAACTTAAACAAACTTTAACCAAATGAAATGAACTAAACTCAAGTTCAAATAAATAAGCAAAATGTTAAAATCAAACTTGATCAAAAAGAAGTGGAGCTGAACAAGGGCTTGGACTTGAACTTGAATGAATCATGAAGGAGCTGGACTTTGATGAACCTTATAGAATTAAGCTTAAATTAAGGTGCTTTGAGCCAAGTGCAATTCAAATAAAAAACCATTTTGAAAATGTGTTGCAAGGGACTATGGTTGGATTCAAACTCGAACAAATAGGAAAGAAATGGAATTCAAATTTATAGATGCATGATCAAGATAAAAGCATCAAAATCAAATGATAACTTCAATTTCTCAACTGCATTCGAATAAACATTGAGATGCAAACACATAGTCATGGTGGATGAAGAAACCTCCACACCCCACTCTTGAGGGCCATGTGACAATTTTTGTTATTCGAACGGAAATCAAACTGGGGACTCGTGGCAAGTAGATTTTCAATACACATGAGTTAGGAATAGTGAAGTGACTATAACTTGTAACCTTCAACTAATTGCAAAGCAAACATCAACATGCAAACAATATTCTTCCTACAAATGATAAGACACCTGTGGAAGATCTGCAATACATACCGGCTCTTCAGGAATACATATATAGGAACAACACACCATCTGTGGGTAGATGCAAAAAGACTTCAGTGAATGCAGTATCCTGTAGTCGATTTCAATATGTGAATGAAGATATCTACCTGCCTACAAACAGCAATAGTGGAGAACCTATGACGCCACACCACCAGATCCGCAACACTCATATTAGCGGACAAAAGGCGTATATAAGCTCTCAAATGAAACGTTGTGTGCATTGAAATGGCAGTTACCTGCATAACTAAAATATCTTAAAATGCCCCCGTACATGCACTGTAATTTGTATACACGTAGGTACAATAAAAGTGGGTACTCAATTATAACACCCACATGGGTCACGACGATCGTGTTATTAGTACATACGTGACGTCTAGGGATGCTGTGCGGATTATTAAATTTGAACATGATCCTCCTAAGCAAGTAGATAGGAGTCGATAAGGTTCAGTATATAATTATAAAATGCCCCCAAACACCTGCATGGACCCCGACGAGCGTGTTATTGGCACACACGTAACGTCTAGGGATGTTGTGCGGGTCGATAAGTGAATTCAAGTTCGAATCCGATCCTTCTATACGGATCAATAGGAATCGACAGGGTTCGAATCATCAAATAAATGTACGGGTGTGGCGACCGATATATTTGTTTTAATACATTCATATTAGTCCTTCAAGGCCTATAATCAAGAGAATTCACTAATAAATGCATAAAGCCTACGAAACCCGATGATCCTCTGTCAATAACTCGACAGGGTCGACAAGGTTCAATCCATAAATGAAAGTGACCTCAAAGTCACCCCGATGATGGCCGTGTTGAATGTTTATCTCAACCGGAAGGGTTCACAAACATATTTCAAATGCCTCCCAAATGCTTAAACATCCCAAATACCTACATAAATATCCAAAATATCATAAATCCAAATATTTAAAAATTGAAATCTAATCATTAATCACATAAAAGCAAAATTCATCCACCTTCCACAACAGTTTGTCGAGGTGGACAAGTTAAAATTTACTTCAGCTCACATAGAGCTAATGTCTAGTCGAAAATATCACTAAAATCCATTCCCAAATAAACCCCATCTGCCTTCCAAAATTTACTCCGGAACTTAATCTGTTAAAACTCCTCCCCGAAAAGAAAAGCAACAGTCGAGCAGAGGCTGAGGCCGAATTTTCAGAGCCCACATCAACTCATAAATATAAAGGGTGAGGTGGGAATGCTTCCAAAAATTAATTTGCCAAATAGGAAAATTTTATCAAAATCAACTTAGTCATGTGTTTCACAATCAAAATCCCAGAATCTACCCAGTAACTCACGGTTAAAAGCATGGTAATACAAATCCCTCTCACCTCATAAACCTAAGGGTCGAGCTGTTTTACTGATTTAAAAAAAAAAACAAGTAGTTAAGACCTCATAATTCCAGACTCAATAAGGCCAAGGACTAGACTTGAATGTCAAGGACCAATTCAAAATATCCAAAGAGCAAAACCAGTGAAGCATTTCAGCTCACAAACCTAAGGGTTCAGTTGCCTTGCAAATTCAACAAGCTCCAAAGGTTGAATCAACATACAAATCCTTATCTCAGTCTAAACAATTGAGCTTCAATATGAAATCCGAGTTTAACAAGCCTAAAAGGCCTTCACATCTCAAAAACATAAAAACTGAGCTTTTTTGTTGATTCAACAAACTTCAAATGCCATGTTTACATATCAATCTCAAACTTAACAACTCCAAGGACCAAGTTTAAATATCAACTCTCAGTTTAATAAGACTATGGGAAGAAATGAAAAATAAAAAATATCAGCTCAAAAATATAAGGATCGAGCAATGTTGTTGATTCAACAAACTCCAAAAGCCAAGCCAGCATATCAATCTCAAGCTCAATGTAAAGATCAAGCTTGAATATCAGGTCCCAAATCAATAAGCCTAAGGGTTGAACTTCAAAAAAAATTTAGAACTTACAAACGTAAGGGTTGAACACTTTATTGATTCAAAAAGCTCCGCAAGCAAAATCAGCACACCAATCTCGATCTTGAATGGTAAGTTACAATTTAATAAGCCTAAAATTCAAACTGGTAAAACTTCTCAGCTTAGAAATCTAAGAGTTAAATTGTTTTATTGATTCAACAAACTACATAAGTCAAGTCAACCTAACACTCAAGGTTAACAAGTCCAAGGACCAAGCTCAATATCAAGTCCTAGTTTAATAAGCATGAGGGTTGAATTAGCAATAATTATTAGCTTAAAAACTTAAGGGCTGGGCTAATTTGTTGATTCACGCCTAAAAGTTGAGTCAACAAATAAATCTCAAGCTCAATAAAATCAAAGACTGAGGTTGAATATCAATTCACAATACAAGAAGCACAAAGGCTAAACCAGCGAAACCTCTCAGATTATAAACCTAAGGAATAAGTTGTCATGTCAATTCAATAAGCTCAAGTAACCGAGTTGGCATACACATTTGATGGTTGAATAAGTCGAAAGAATTGAATCGTTTCAAGGCCAATTCAGTTGAGCTAGTAATCTCAGCTCAAAAGCCTAAGGATCAAGTTTTTATGTCAATTCAACAACCTCTAGCAGTTGAGCTGACATAAAAATACAAGGTTCGATAAGTAAGATCTACCTCTTTTCTTGTAATAAGCTTGCATTAAACCGACACCTCAGCTCACAAGCCTAAAGGTCAGGCAATCATATCAATTCAATAAGCTTCAGTAGTTGAGTTTACTTATACGTACGGTGGTTCAATAAGTTTAAGAATTAAATTATCACCCAGTCAATAATTAAGGGTTAAATTGACACCATAGCTAATAAGCCCAAAGGTTGAGATCACCAATCAGTTGACATAAATACCCCTCGCTCTTAGTCGAAAGATCAAATTGTCATGTCAATTCAACACCCTCCAACAGTTGAGTTGACATAAAATTACAAATTTTCAATAAGTAAGATCTACCACTTGTTCAATAAGCTTGTGTCAAACTAGAAATTCACTCATAAGCCTAAAGGTCGAGCTATCAACTTCCACTCGTGCATGATGCCCTACTCACATAACTCATCACTCCCTGGCCACATCACTCAACTCTCCCAAGCCCATTTACACATAAAGTATTCATTTGACACATTAAGTCCACACAACACTAATTTTCACACACATACTATCCATAAACATGAATATACATTAAAAAAACAATATGAAATGATGTAAATATTTATGTCTACTTCATAGCTTAAGCTTCATATTCTATTTCCCTTGTTCTAGTGATAGGGCATCCTCCATGTGCTACATCACAAATCTTCAACATTCATATTGCACCAAAATGCATCACCATTTTCTTCACCTCTTGGAGAAAGAATCAAGTCTCACCAATGAACAGAAATGCGTAGGATGTCATATTTCTCTCAAGTTTATGGAATCTATAGAATGAAAGATACATGAGAGTATTTAAAGATAAAAGAAAAAAAGAAATTAAAGATACAAAGGATCCTATTAAAATATTTGTTTAGAATATTTTTGTCTACTTTTTTTCTCCAGATTTCCGTGTATTATTCTTCACATATTGAAATTTGGCACATAAGGCCTTTATTTTGTGTCATTTGGGTTTGGCTATGTTTTATCCAGCTAGAAATGGATTCAAGTTAGTTTAAATTCCACAGAAATAGAGTTGAGTTATCTCAAAATCTTTACATACTGCACCTTGATAACTAGATGGATTTCAAGTTTGATTGACTCACACACCCTGAAATTCACTCATAAACCCAAGCAGAAAATGTGCTTATCCAGCAAAATATGAGGTAACACCTAGTGGATACATCCATAAAATCTTCTTCAGGAAATATTGAAAATGAACAATCCGATATGATTAAATGAAAAAAGGGGAAAAAAAGGCATATGGAACTGCAAGTAACATGATAGACATCAATCAGCACTGATCGCCTAAGCAGCATACCTCCAGACTTGAATACTCCAACTGGCACTCTTCAGTACCATCAGATTTTTTCTGCATTGTTCGAAAGTATAAAACATAAGTAAACTTGCTCTCAGAACCACTGAATTTAGCTTCCATTTATTATATATCAAAAGCAATATGAGGCCAAGAAATCCAATCAAAATTAAATATTTAAATTTTTAAGAAAAATAAATAGAGGCTTAAACTTATCTGTCAAACCAACAATTCTTATGGCCAGCACTGTTTTAAGGCTTGCAGAGATTAAATTGTCTTTCAAAGTTCTGTCATTTAACAGTTACAGCAAACTGTAATGGTCATTTACCACCAAACCCCTCATCCCTTCTTCGTTTTCTTGTCCTTAACTGGAGTTTCTGCGAGCGTGGTTAGATACATAATAACCTAAGATAATGTTTTTCTTCATGCTAGAATCAGAGTTCTGCTATTCTATAAGCTTAGTTTGTGTTCTGCTTCAAAGAACCAGATAGTAAGATGTCCTACATAATTTTCAAAAAATATAATGCTTCAAAGTCTAACAGATACTCAAAGAAGATTAACTATGCCATTGATCTATTCCCTCATTTGGCTAGTATGGAAAACTTCGACTACACCCACAAAGAGGTACCATAAATCATGAAGGATTGGGAACGGTGGGAAGGGGATAAATTACCCAAAAATGCAAAACTCAGAAACATCTTATATTTATTTGTTAAATATCTTATATTTGAATACATACTATATTTATAGGTCTGCGGAGGATGATGAGTTGAAATCGGAATACATTAGTTGAGTACAAATTTAAGGTGTCTCGTAGGTTGGTACTTAAACAGTTGACGTGACCCCAATTCAATTGATAATCAATTTGCAAAGTATGAATTACAACATAAAGAGGAGTATACTCGTCTATAATTTTGTTTATTCATAATCAAAAGCTGGATTTAGGTTGGGCCTCTGTACTTCATATCTTTTGACTCAGAATGCCATTGAAAATATTTTTTACCAGGGCAATGACAATCCAACAAATATTCCTTTAATAAAGTGCAATTCAAGATTATTTTCTCTCAATGAAAATAATAATAATAATTGCAAAAGCAGAAAAAATTCACTATAATTGAAATCAAAACTGTGATCTTTAATACATAGTCGTACAAGAGCCTGAGATTGCTTGAATTCTATTAAAACCTTTTTAACAAAAATGGTTTTGTTATTGCGAGTTGAAAGAGCATCCAGCGAGTCAAAACCATAATCCTTCGAAACTCATGGTTGCAATAACCTTGAAATTCAAGATGATTTGCTCGGAATGATAAAGATAAATTAATTGCAAAAACAGAGAAAATTCACTATAATTGAATCAAAACTGTAATGGTTAATGCATGCATACAAAAACCAAAGGTTGCTTGAATTCTATTAAAACGAGTTGAAAGAGCTTCAAGCTTGTCAGTCATAATCAATAGAAATTCATGGTTGCAATTCATCCAAGTTCTTGCATAACACATTATAGAATTTAGCATCCATCTTCACAACTACTTTATCTCGGTATTTTTCCACATCTCCAAAATATCTGCTATTGAATTTGATATTTGATAATTCAACTATTCCATGAATAATAAATTAGGCACTCACCTTTTTATATTTCAGGGAGATAAATCTACATGCTGGTTTGATTTTTTGAAGTTTTTTTATAAAAGCCTCCTAATAGCTTGTAGGAACAAGTTTAATAAAAAATGCCCTGAACACTTAAAACTTAAAATCCTCCATATTCAAAGTTAAGAAATAAAACTTGAGGTTGTTAAGCAAATACACTTGTTAACGCAGTTAAAATGTGTTGCTGCATAGCGTCACAATAGTTGATAGTAATTTTATGAACTAAAATTCATTGATAATAACAAAAAAAAAATTGAAATCAATTTTTTCTGGCCTATACAATTAAACATTAACAGTCTAAATCAAGAAAATTCTTTTACCTCAAATAATAAGACTCTTATACCTATAAATAAATTAATACTGAGTTGAAAAATTAGTATTAATGATAATTCAATAACATTCATTCAAATATAAATGGCCTTCAAAGTTTTATCACTCTAATATGCCTTTAAAGTGAAAATAGCAAAAGAAAGAAAAGAAAACAGTAGAAATAACTACAAATGATGGCTGATTTTGGATTATAACTTCAACATGAAAAACAAAATGCTGGTGATCTACGATTAGAGAGGAAGATCGGCTCTCCCAAAAGACCTAGATGCCGGTAGGAAGCTGATAGGTACCACTTGAGTTTTTCAAGTGATTACTATCGGATCTAAGCCAAATCGCAACTATTCCGCTGTTTTCTATGGGAAAACAGCCACCAAACACAAAAACAGTGGAAAAATCTGAGAGAAATGCGTAGAAGTAAGGTAAGAACCAATAGCAAAACGACTTAATTTTCACGTCCCATCGGATCTAACTCCAACCTAAATCGCGCACACGACACTATCACCACCACCTAAAACACCGCCCGAATCATAAAACACGACACAGACCTGCTAGACTCATCTCTATACAGAAATACCCCACTAAAAACCACAGCCAAGACTATCACGAGGGAGGTGGTGGTGCTAGATAACGGTGTTCAAAACCCTAACGACGAAACACCACTACACCTATCTCTACTCGAATCCTTCGCGTAGATAGATGCTCTGAGTCGATGCAAAGAAAGAAAGGATCAAGTTACCTTCGATTCGAGAGGAAGGAAAAACTCTCAAATCTCTAGCCGTAGCCTAGAGCCCAAAAGAAAAACCTAGATCTCCACAAGATGAAAACTAAACCTAGGTTAACTCCCTCTTAATACAATCTAATTCAAACAAAGAAAGGACATCTCTACCCTTCAATCTCCCTCCAAAAACACTTAAATTTGTTTGAATTGCAAGTGGACCCCACCCCAAGCCCCATTCTTTCTTCTGTCGGCTCCCGTGTTCCGCTTACGCTGGAGAAGACCCGGACCGGCTGGGCCGGTCCAGGTTGGACCGGCCTAACAGAAGCCCTCACAGAAAAAACTACAACAAATAGGGCCGCCGCTTCTAAATAGCCAAGACAATCGCCATCAGCACTTACATGTACCCTGACTGTGAGCACCTGGCTAAAATATGCAATTGGTCTCCGGTCTTTCATGAGTACTGCTCCTAGCCCATAACAAGATGCTTTTGTTTCCACCATAAATGGTCTCCCAAAATCTCGAAGTGCCAATATTGGTACAATGATCATAGCTTTCTTCAGCTCCTTAAAAGCTCTTGTCGCTTCCTCCCTCCACTTGAAGATATTATTCTACAATTGCTCTGTCAAGAGTCCTGCAATGATGTTGTATCTCTTAACAAATTTCCAGTAGTAACCAGTGAGCCCTAAGAACCTCCCAACTCCTTCAAGTTCTTGGGAAGAGGCCAGTCCACCATGGCCTGAACCTTGGACTGGTCAGCTGACACCTCTTCTTGGGACACATGTCCTAAATACTCCATCAATGACTTCCCAAATGTGCACTTTTTCCAATTGACGAACAACTAGTACTCCCTCAAGGTCTCCAGTACTGTCTTCAAGTGTTCCCAGTGTTTGTCTTGTTGTATATTAAGATGTCATAAAAAAATACCAAGAAAAATTTTCTGAGATGTGGTTGGAACACTCGGTTCATAAGGGACTGTAAGGTGGAAGGGGCATTGGTGAGACCGAAAGACATCACCAAAAACTCCTAGTGCCCTTCATGTGTCCTAAAGATTGTCGTGTGCACATCAACTACCTTCATCTTGATTTGATAATATGCCGACTTCAAATCAATCTTGGAAAAGATCATTGTTCAAAATAACTCATCCAAGAGCTCATCAATCACTAGAATGGGAAACTTATCTAGCATTGTTTCTATGTTTAGAGCCCTGTAATCCACACAGAACCTCCAATTGTCATCCTTTTTCTTCACCAACAAAAATGGACTACAGAAATGGCTCACACTAGGCCTAATGATCACTGCTTCCTTCATCTCCTTGATCAGCCTCTCTATCTCATCTTTCTGAATATGGGAGTAACGGTATGCTCTGAAAGATATAGAAGAGGCCCCTTCTTTTAGATTGATGGTGTACTCATGGTCTCGTGGCGGTGGTAACCCGAAAGGTGGATGAAATACATCATGATACTATTGCAGAATTTGCTAAACACCCACTAAAATTTCCCTTCCCGTCCCTTGATCCCTTCTATGCTATGCAACTCCACCAAGTACCCTAGGCATGCACCCTGGATTGTCCTAAGCATGGTTCTAAGTGATATCATACTTTTGCATAAGCTAACATCTCCTCAAAGCACTACCTTCTTCCCTATCTACCTAAACCTCCATGGTCAAAGACTTCCAATTCACATTCATTTCCCCCATGGTCTATTGCCACTTCATTCCTAGAATCACATCCATACTTCTAAAGTCCAAGGGAAGGAAGTTTGCCACTACCTGAATACCCTGCAAGGTCATTACCACCCTTTTACATATCCTTCGACTCCTCTCTATCTTGCACGTCCACATCATCACCCCACATCTTTTAGTCTTCACCAACTTCAACCACAATCGGTCCATGACCTTATTCGATATGAAGTTAAGCGTAGCTCCCCTATCCACCAAAACCACCATTGGTTACTCCCTGATTTGCCCCCTCACTTTCATGTTATGATTTAGAGTGAATCCCATCACTGAGTTTAGGGACACTTCTGTCGCATCTAGATGTAACTGCTCTGTTTCACCTTATGATCTCATCTAGCTCATCCCCACTCTCTTCTTCCCCCCTCACAAACCATCAAGACCCGAAGGGCTCGATTCTTGCACCTATATCCTGGTGTAAATCTCTCATCACACCTGAAGCATGACCATTTTGCTTGTCTATCCTACACCTCTGCTTATGTAAGGCGCTTAAAATTGCCTCCAAGATGAACTCCAGTGCTCTTCTCCTTCGATGCCTCCCTTTGAAATTACATCGTATGGGCCCTCAATGTCAGGGTAGTGGAGGTAGTCCGGTAAGCCCCTCCCATGGTGTTGCTTCGCTAGACTTCTCCCTCTGATGCATCTCTTTCACCCTTTGTGTTAGTTCCATAGTCTCTCTTAGCCCTCTAGGCATCAATACCCTGAGCTCTGCTCGTATGTCATCATTAAATTTTTTCATGAAATTCTCTTCCAACCCTTCCTCAGAAATCACCCTCATCCTACCCAACAGCAGTTCAAACTTCTCCGGATACTCCATGATTGTCCCCTACAAAGTTAAGGCATAGAACTGCTTATGCAGATCTCCTTCCCGAATGACTCGAAATCGTTCCAAAAAACAATCCTTAAATTCTACCCATAATAACTCGGATATGTAGCATCCCTCCACTGAAACCAAGCTAGGGCTTTACCCTCCAAATATAACCCTACCGCCATGAGCTTTTCTCCTTTCATCAGCCCATTGATAACAAAGTAACGCTCCACCCGATACACCCAACCCTGAGCATCTTCCACTTCAAAGACCGGTATGTTTAACTTCCTTGATTTCGCATCCATACCCAAATGACTTCTCCATCCACTAGTTCCTCCCGTGTAGTGATGGTGCATCTCTCCCTTCCTCCCTTGGCAGGTTTGGACCCCATGGCTCGGCCACCAATCGTTTCCTCCTCCGGTCCACCTTCCACCATATTTGGGTGGTCTCCCAAAGGGTTCAGCCTCTCCCTTTCTTGCTGCCCTTTCTTCAAAATACCCTAATCCATCTCCCATCAGAACCCCCCTGTGGTGGTCCATGAGGGTAAACACTCTCCACTTCATCATCGTCCTCTTAAATTTTATTTCCCTTTGCTCAGCCTTAGGAATCGCAAGTGAGGCTTTCGATTTCATCTCGATAGTCATATCTTGTAAGTTTTCAATGCGGTTCTCTATAGATGAGAGCCTTCCTTTTATAGTTGAAAACTTCCCCTCCATTCCAGAATATTTCTCCTCCATTCCGGTCTTGAGTTGCTCCATCTCACCTTCCAATGCATCCATCTTCTTTGCTTCCATTTACCACGCTTTGATATTAATTTAATAAGACTTTGAAGTTTAAATAGCAAAAGAAAGAAAAGAAAACTGTAGAATTACTCTAAATGATGGCTGATTTTAGATTATAACTTCAATACGAAAAATAAGATATAGGTGATCTACAATTAGAGAAGTAGATCGACTCTCCCAAACAATCTAGACGTCGCTAGAAAGCTCTCATAGAAAGGATTCTAGCAAAACTCTAATCAAAACATAACCCTAATACAAAATAACTAGCTCTGAATAAACTCTTCCTATTTCCTCCCAAAAAAGTCTTATTGCCTTAATTAATTGCCTCCTTTATTTTGAATTCAAATTGGCATTAAACGGCGATTAATTCATTCCTTATTCCTTCTACGTAAATGGAATCATAGCTTTGGTGGGCCCCACAAAGGTGACGAAAATCTCATTGGATCTGGCTCCAGGTTCTGCCCCCTCTTGATTTGGTTCTTGCTGGACCGGCCGATCCAAGTCCCCCCTGCTTGCTGCTATATCACACCCGTGTCTGGATTGTTTAGTATTTTAATATTTTATTATTGTTCTTGGAGAATAAATGAGTCACGATATTCTTAACATAAATACGGTTAGTATAGGCTTCATAGTTATCATATTTATTTTGACTGAGAAGTTATATATTACACTCATATGAAATTAAATCTAATATTATAAAGCTCACTCTAACTGAATCTAGGTTATGATATTCCGTACAAAATTTTCCCAACATTTTTTCTATTTTAGATGACTAAATTGATTTGAAGATTAATGATAATAAAAAATATGATAAAATAATTTTTTCCATGTCTATGGTGGCATTTCAATAGATGTTGGAATGATTGTGTGAGATAATATTTGTATTCTATTGATTTGGTTCCAATATGATGATTGTGTTACGAATCTGGCAAACAGGAGCAGGGGGCTCTGTCCGGCTCAAACCAATCAAACCTAGCAATTCTGCTGAGCAAGAAATAGAGCAGTAGAGAGGGAGTTCGGCCCCCCTTATGGGGACTAGCAAAGCTATAATTCATTATGTAAGGAGGAGGAATAAAAGGTGATTGTTTAGGAAAGTTTTAATTATGATTATGAGAGAATTAATTAGGGAAAGATATCTAATTTGAATTCAAATTTGAGGGGGGCCTATTTGGGAAAAGGGAGTTGATTTGGAAGAGAATTAGGCGAGCCTATTTAAGGCTACTATTTTGGAGACTATGCATGTGTTTGCTGAAACTAGGGTCTCTTAGATTATGAGGGCTCTAGCCGGCGGCTAGGGATTTGGGAGAGCCGAATCTTCAATTGGATCTTCCTCTCCAATTGAAGATCCAACTGTATCTTGCTATTTTATTTCATGATTCATGGTGTGTTCTTCTTCCCAATTTCCCATTGTAGTTCACAAATTTGGTTGAAAGTGCATCCACTTCACATCAGATTGGTATAAGTATAACATGCTTCAAAAAAAAAAAATTTTAAAAGTCAATTTCAATAGAAACTTGAGATTATATTTAATTTAAGTGCTTTTAGTGCACATGTAATTTTACAAGTGGCTGAAAAGAGACACAAGCTGTTACAGCAAACAGCTGAAAAAATCAGATGTTGTGAATGCCACAGGGCCAGTAAAAAAAGAGAGCTAAAAAACATAAAAGCCAAGTGCAAGATAATTCATACTCCATTGAAGCCAATTATTAACTAATTACTATTTAAGTCAGTAAAAAAAATATTTCAATTAAAAGCACCTTAGCAGATGCGTAGCTCTGCAGGTCAACAAAAATTTCACCACATGAATCTCTGCATTCAACCGTGTAAAATGAAATCCGCTTTTGCCTTTCTCGACATTTGTTGTTAATTGCGATCTGTGAAAAAATATGATCCAAGAAAAAAAATCGAGCAAAAGAATAGATAATCTACATAGGGCATAAGGAAATTAAAAAGTTGAAGCTAAACTTGAGAGTGCGCACACCCTTAAGCAATCTCTCTCTTATCATAGCCACGTACCTTATCTTTAAGAGAGCAACAGCTAATAACTACAACATCAAACTTGTCAAGGAAAACTCCAGCAAACTGATGTAAATCACCTGAGAAAAAGAAACGTAACTAATATAATTTTTTTTCTATTTTAACTAGAAATGATTACTAGACTGTAAAGTGCCTCTCAACACAATCAAAAAGTGGCGAGGCTTCAGAGGATCCTTAAACGTCAGGTTCAAACATCGTCTTAATGATGCCAAAAATACCAGAAGTATAAGTTACTTTATATGTTTTAATGTCCAAAATTCCAAGATTTGAAATTCTTTTAGAATTGAGCTAGGCCAAGTTCAAGTCAAGCTTTGACTAGTAGCCAATGCCTGCAGTCCAAGCCACAACAGCATGGTGATTGGAAGTGCTGGTAGAAAATAATTATTCATTGGCTGAAATTGAATTTCAACAAAACCAGAAAACAAACCCAAGGAAAATCAGGAAGAAAACACACAAATACTCTTTTATTGCAAGATATATGAAGAAAAACAGCAACATACAATGGATTTTCAATTGCTGAGGAAGATACAACTCTCCAAAATCCCTAGACGTCGGCTAGAGCCCAATCAACCTAGAAACAAACTAAATTTAGCAAACAAGACATAACCCTAACCCTAGGGAAATAACCTACTTAAAGAAAACAATAGAAATCAAATATCAAAACAACCCCCCATAGTTGAATTTTCCCTCCTAGCCTCCCATTGGAAAAGAACACAGAAATACTCTTTTATTGCAAGATATATGAAGAAAAACAGCAACATACAATGCATTTTCAATTGCAGAGGAAGATATAACTCTCCAAAATTCCTAGACATCGGCTAGAGCCCAATCAACCTAGAAACAAACTAAATCTAACAAACAAGACAACCCTAACCCTAGGGAAACAACCTACTTAAAGAAAACAATAGAAATCAAATATCAAAACAACCCCCCATAGTTGAATTTTCCCTCCTAGCCTCCCATTGAAATCCCCCCCCACCACAAGGGCCGACGACATTGCTGGCAAGTAGAAACCTGTGTTGATTCTTGTAACCCGGAATTACGACATTTAAGTAGCAATCGCATCGCATAATCGATGCGCCGCGGACGAACTTAAGTGAAATTTCGATGTCGTAGGAAAAATTGACGAAATAAATTTCATTAGATTCGTCTCGAAATTTCGAGCGAAACGGTATAAAGGACTTATATCCAATTTCGCACGGATTTGAAGTTAAAATTTATCAAAGTTCGTTTAAGTAAACTTTACCCTTTTTGCCCCCTTTACCCCTCATAAGTCTCAAAAGAAGCTTTTGGAAGAGGGGCACATGCGTCTTTTAGCAATATCCTCTCTCATTTAGCACAAGTCTCCCTAAGGGACCGAAATATTTCGGTCCCTTTGTTCTCTTGGCCGAACCGAAGAGAGGGGGGCGACGGGAGAGAGAAGGAAACGGCGGGAGCTCCTTCCAAGCCGGCGATTCCTACGAGATTCCTTAGGAAAAGCATAGAGGAAAACTTGAGGTAAGTTGTTCTTAAGAGAAATGAAAATTTTCATGAGATTTTTTGCATAGAGAAATTTTAGGGTTTTATTTTTTTTTTGGATTTCTTTAGAAAACCTTTAAGCTTTGTTGGATCTATTGTTTTATACCATAAATGGTAAGTTTTCTTAAAAAAAAATGTGAAATCTGAAAATTAGGGTTTCTTCTTTTGACTTATTTTTGTATGAAATTGTTAGGAGAAATGAGGGACGGGATGTTATAAAGCAAATGCAAAGTTTTCTTTTGAAATTTTGATTTTTGAAATTAGGGCTTTTCCAAATGAAGTCAATTAAAGCTTGCATGTATTGAAAAACATATTCCTAAGGGTTTAGAGAGGTCTCTAAAGAAAAGAAATTTTAATTTTGAACAAAAATAAGATTTTCTTTATTATTTTATGCTTAATTCCGAAAATAATAAGAATTTATTTATAAGTAAAAGAAAGAGGAATGTTTTAGAAGGATTTAGGATGAATTGGATGACTTTTTAGGTTCCTATATTTGTTATTTTAATTAAATCCGAAATTACTTTATATAAATATAAAAATTTTGTATGAGGTTGATGTTCTTTGACTTTAAGGATAAGTGGAAGAAGGTTATAGGAAGCCTATAAAAGAAAATTTGAAACATAAAGTTTACTTTGGCAAGAATGCCTCTAAACTTTATGTCAATGTCACAGGTCTATTCATGTACAAAGATGACATAAATTTTTCTTACACATACTCGTGCAATGCCATCCAATACAATTAACACACAACAACTAATAACTAAGAACAGTAAGAACCTGTCACCCGGTGCGCGCTCGACTGTAGGTAACCTCGGATGATCAGCCATCACCTAAGGTCGGGTCTCCTGAAATTTTTCCAAACTAAGGGAATTGAGCTTACGCTCAGCCAGAAATTTCTAATCCTAAACATTGCTCATTTGACAAAAAAAATGTACATGCTTTAAGCAAAAGGGAACATGTGTTTCTTATCTAACTCATAATGTCTTGATTAGGTCATAATGAAAGTATATCTTCGTTTATTGTCATAATAAAAGATAATGTAGATGTCATATTGCATATTGTCATTTAGATAGTATAATGCATGTCATCTCACTTATTTAATATATTCAACGTCCCGGAGTACCAGGGGTGTATTGATCAGGTACACAAACCTTTTTGGCCATTTATTTTCTTTTCCTTCCCTCTGATTAATGACATTATCTTCCCAGGCCATAAAATGTGGCCATTTAAATGTTTTTAGGCAAAGATAGATAACTACTTTATAAGAGGATTAAGCAATGGTCGCTATCACTCAGACCCTACCCTGGGATGATACAAAGTGGATTGGATTGTGGTATTACGTGTAGTCCAAAAACTAGCATAGAACTTGTTGAATAATCATGACTCTGAATCATTTAATACATTATGTTAATGCTAGGAACAATTCCTCTAGAAGCGATACGCTAAATACTGTAAATACAACAAGATGTGTGCAAGAGTCGATGCACCTGGCCACCCCGTCAGGTACAATTTTTAATATATACACAGGGTTCACTCATAGTCATGCGGACAGATAGTGAGGCAAAGAGCAACATCCAATGTAACTAAGACATTTTTTTCTAATATGATAAGGACTTGGAATATATGAGTGCTCTTAGAGTGTATAAATTAATAATAAATTACAATTAAAATATTATAATTCATAATTATACTGATCTTTAAATATTCTATATTACCTTCAAGAAAACTATATGGATGTGAGGAGAAAGTTAAGAAGATAGGTCTTTAGGATTAAACACACAATAGTCATTAGCAAGTAGGATTGCGTATTACAGTTAATGAAAATAGGAGTATATGATTTATTAGGTTTAAGAGTTTTGAAAGTATACCATGAATTAATTAGTAAAAATTAATGCAGAAAATTAGAAGATATATACTTTAAGTGAGGCTTTTAAGATTGGTGGTTTTTAGAAGCTAAGCAAGATTTATTAATAACTAAAAATAGTTTTGTCTCTTATATCCTCAAATATTAGATTTGACATGTTCAGAATTTAAAATTTGTAATACAACTTAGAATAAATTAATCAAATATACTCAATAATATTTCTCGCTTGCATATAATATATTTATTGAAGTAAAGTAAATTACATTTTTTGGAGGAGATTTAAATGATCAGTTAGTAGACGAGGTAAGAATAAACTTTAAAAGCATTCATGGTGACTATGGGTTTGAGGCAACTAATAAAGGTGATGGAACCAAAGTTTAGATTTATGCTTGACCAAGTTTTATGAAGATTTTGGTAATGGCTAAATACTTGTTTAATTAAAGAAAGAAGAGGCATTTACAATCATTAAAGATTGAATGGATATTGGTAAACCTCAATATTGATTATTTTCTTTATAAGATAGAAGAATAGACTCGTTTCATTTAAGGAATTGTAAACAAGATTGTTAAAGACTCATTTACGAGTGTAAATGTTCATGTACTCATGTATACCATTGCTTTCTATTTGTTTTGGATGTTAAACTGATCGAAATGATTAGGTAATAAAATAAAAAATAAAAAAAAAATAAAATATATGGTCCAATTATTTAACATATTAGGTGAGCAATTGTAATTAAACACACTACTAATAAAATAATTTTATGAAAGAGTAAATTTCAAACACATCTTAAAGAAATTTTTGAGATATAAGTGGAACAAAGAATTTCCTTAGCATCGCCAAAGATAACTGTATAATCCGTGAAAATAGAGAAATATGCTAATTAATATTAAGAATGCTGCCAAGAATGTGTTTAGCCACCGTATCGCCCATAGTATAATTAACATTCATATAATAATGCAAAAATAATTTGGTGGGTCTTTATGCTTCTTCGGAATTTAAATATGCAGCAGACAAATCACACAATTATAAACTTAATAAGCTTAAAGCGCTGTAAAAGATTGGAACCATTGGAAACGTGATAAATAAGACAACAAGAGCCTATAAAGAGTCTATAGAAAATAATAATGCGATGTAAATAAAATTATGCTTTTAATGATTTAATATATATATTAATTCAGATATTAAGTGAGATTCGAGAGATAGGTTATTATGTAATATATGTAAGATCATAAGCAAAATATGATAAACGATGATTTTAGTCTCAATTATAGTGCATTACAGGATTAGACGAGAAAAAAAGTGTTGTTATTCAAAGAAGATAAATATTCAACTAAAGTGGATGAGGAATATTTTGATAAGCACATCTCAATGAAAATTGTGAGAACACCGATTTAAAGATAGCATTAAAAAACTTAGCACCCTTAAAATAAAAATGAAATATTTTTTTAATTTTATCGGCGTATTAAGTTAAACAGATGTTACGAGGGAGCTATAAATTGCATTTATTGAGTAGTGTTTTTGCAATGGTAGATATTTAATTAAGGCTTCTAAAAGAGAACATCAAGGAGGTCTATTCACACTCATGAATATCTCTCACTCTCACATCTTATAAGATACACGCTAATGTTGATAAAAGTTATCCAAAGTGATAAAGATGCCACCATATCGAAGAGTTCTA